TCCCCCCCCCCCCCCCCGCTAATTTTGGGTGGTCTCTAAACTATCTTTCACTTAGAAGAGAAGACTCCACGGCTCAGGGTTGAACCGTGGAGTCCTTGGACTCCACTGTCTTTCACTTCTCAGTATAATCTTTTTAAAGGTTTATTTAAATGTTCTCCCAGCCAACATTAGTGTCATACTGGCATAATTAATTTCATGTAAACTAATTGCTAACTGGTGTTTGACAAGAAAAGTTATTTGAGTCACTAAAATGCTATTTTATATTTCTTCTTAAATTTATAGTCTATTTGCACTCTAAACAGCATCCCTGTGTTAAAAAGTAGGTCATAAGCCTCAAAGCAGCTGTGATGGAAATAAGATTTATTGAAATCCATGGAGTAAAGTTTAATAAAAATGCTTAAGGTCACAATGTAAGATATGGCATTATGTCACTTTTACATTTTAAAAATGGTCCCATTAAAAAATAGTCTCTAGTTTTCTTATCTTTTGTACAGCAAATATGTGGATTTGAATGTCAGTTTTAAATTCCTACATAAAGTGTCAAGGGTAACCTTATAATATTTCAAGTCTGTCTGCTCATCTGTGTTAATCATATGTTGTTCAGAAGAAGAAAACTAGGTTTTCTAATGCTTCCATTGCTGGCAGCTGGAAGCAGTTCTTCCTCATCACAAACTTTTTGGCAAGTGGCCACCAGAAGCTTGTTCTTACACTGTTTTTGGGGGGTAAGCTGATGTTTTAGGGTGTGATGTTTGCAGGAAGTACTTTAAAATTATTTAGCTCCAGATTGATTTCCAGCATTTGTAATGTCAAAACTATTTTAATCATATTTGAAAATTTCACTAATACAGTATTTGTGGCTGCTTGATTAAAATCTTATATAGAGTATCTATTTCATTTTCCAAACACAGGATATGTAAGGGAGAAGTATAATTGTGAGAATTGGCCACATGAAGAAAGCCTGGATTGTATGGTGGGATATGATTTTAGACTTAAAGGGAAATACTTTATCAGCAAGATGTTCAGATGATAAAAGTGTGCTTGATGCTTGCCTGTGTTGTAAGAGTGAAAGTTACACTGAGGAAATTCATTATTATTTAATTGTTTAGAAAGCTCTCTTGTTATTTGCTGTTTGTGACTGGAGAAAGAAAATCCATGGTGT